AGAATGGGCTCTTCCACCGTTCATTCTCTGTCTGTACTCATCATTTGAATTAGGCAAAGAAGTGTTTAAAAATCGAAATAATTATTTTATCGCTATTCCAAATCCTCTTTACTGCCTTTAAAGTTGACATAGCTAGAGATTTTTGCAAATGAAACGATGTTTCACTTTAGATTAATTTTAATAGCTTCATTGAAGTCATGTGGTATGTACCTGAAAGTATTTATCGCTAAGTTAAACAATGTTAAATGTTCTGATACTCATGGTGCCTGGTGTAGCCAGGTTAGGAGGAAGTCATTAGCGGGCGGTTTTGGCAGTACATCCATGCCTTCTATTAGTGTTTTTCTTTCCGGGTAGGGGTCAAGCCAAACTTTCTCGTTTTATTTCTGGCCTGATTATCAGTGTGTAAGATTAACATAATATTAATACGAGATGTTCCAGGTATAATCAAGAGTTATTTACCCCCAAAGCCGTGGACGGGTAGGGGATAAGGAATAATAATGGCCATATTTTTTTCAAACGGAAACTTTAAGCAGCTAACGTAGATATTACTGGGTAATCCTTTTTGTTTACAGTTTCAGCATGGAGAAGACTCTGCCTTTCCCAGTCTTTCCCTGTGGCTTCCTCTTTCTCATGGCTCACTTCCATATTTCCATCCATCCCGAGCATACCCATGTTTCTGGGGTGATATCTCATCACTCCATGCAAGGCTATATTCTTCTCACCTACTGCTTCACTCTGCATTTCTATACGCCCTACGTGCTCATTCCGATTCTGTTGGCAGGACCAACTAACTATGCCTTTAAACCCTGCAGCAGTTCCAACGAAACTTGCTATTAAAAGAACGCTCCTTTTTCTTTAATACTTTCAGTTTAAAAATAGTTATAAAAGCAATATGCTTAAATTGTTCTGAAAATAGGAAAGCAGTCCATTAGGGCACTGTACTTTCCAACAAATGGATGTTAGAACACACCTGTTCTAGGTAATACAGATAAAAGGAAATATATCTGGCACTGGGAAACTACAAAAATATATATTTTTAACAATAATTTTCTGGAAATATTTAGTGACTTTCCAAAATGTGACCTGTCTTATATTTCAAAACATTTTTTCTGATTCTTACCAAGCTTCCTTGAAAAAAAGATCTCCTGCAAGGTGTGGAAGAAACAAGCTTCACTTTATTGTTTGGTTTTGACATTGTGAGAGACTATTATACAAGCAGCTGTGGGGAGGACACTGACAGACAGTTAAAGCAAGGTTTTTGTATGTTTCAATTCAGGTCACATGACGCAAGATATAACAAGTCAAACAGAGAACTAGTTTGAACCAGAAAGCTGCAAGGGCAGGAAAGTGCAAAGGCGGGGAAAACTGTGTTTTGACCTATTGACCTCATAGGCCTCCTTCAGCATTATGGAAAATTCCTAAACGCACTTCTTAAACAGAAATTAAACCTGGGGTTTTCTTCTTCCACATTCCCCCTTTTTGTACATATAGTACAACCAATGAAATTTTGTAACCGTGTGTTGGGCAACAGACTGCAAGTGAGCCCACAGGAGAACATTCTGACTTAAGCATCCTTTGAGGCACAGTGAGACTTGTTCTTAGGTAGAGTATCTTCCAATGCTCCCTTCGGAACAATGGTGAGACTAATCTCAATTGACCCAGCATCACGTTAGACATATCTGTTGTGTCTTTTGCGGGATGCACTAAGGTTACAATTGCATAGCAACAAAAGGAGTACTTGTAGAAAGAGAATAAAACCAGAAGACCATAATTGCAATATAAAATAATTTGGTCCCAAAACGACCAAACCAGTCCCAGACTCCATTGATCATTTTGGTGTAGTTCAGCAGCTTCTTCCTCAATAATTTCGGCCTGGTTCTCAATAGCACTAGAAGCATCTGGTGTATAAACGCAGCATTCTGATTTTATCAAAGCACACACACCTCCTTTGCTAGGTAATATATAACCTAAGGTGAGTCTGTTTTGTAGAGTCATTTGTCTCATTTCTTTCATTTCTTTACTTATTTCATGGAAACCAATGGCAGTAGCATTAGCTATTTTCTCTAGGGATGCTGCAACTTTCTTTATTTCGGACATAGCTAAGCCTGCACCATAGTTAGGGAACATTATACCCCAAAACCTTTGATTTTCTGTGATTTCATGAACATTGCGAATTCTTCCTTTAGGTAAGTGAGATCTAATAGTAAAGGCAGGATATGCTGCAGAGACATAGCATGTTCCCCTCCAACCGGAAGGAAGATTTTTATAAGCCTTTTTTCCACATACAAAATAGTACAGTAAATGCACCTGTATTACAGCGTGGGGTCATCATCCATTGTGAATAATAACCTGAAAATTTACATCTGGGAGAATAATTGGATATCCAGGAACCATTAGAGAGTCAAGCACCATTTACCTTAAATTCTACTTCACACTTACTGACTCCTACTGCAACACGAGATCCATTACAGGTCCAACAAAACTTTCCAGGGGTGGCATACGCTAGTCGTACATAGTCAGACCAGTTGTAATTTATATCTTGCCAAGTTTAATTCCCATGAAAATCTGAATAATAAGGGGCT